TGCCATGATGCAACACAAGGCTGCCATTGTTGCAACACAAGGCTGCCATGCTGCAACACAAGGCTGCCATCATGCAACACAAGGCTGCCATTGTTGCAACACAAGGCTGCCATGCTGCAACACAAGGCTGCCATCATGCAACACAAGGCTGTCATCATGCAACACAAGGCTGCCATGCTGCAACACAAGGCTGCCATGCTGCAACACAAGGCTGCCATCATGCAACACAAGGCTGCCATCATGCAACACAAGGCTGCCATCATGCAACACAAGGCTGCCATCATGCAACACAAGGCTGCCATCATGCAACACAAGGCTGCCATCATGCAACACAAGGCTGCCATCATGCAACACAAGGCTGCCATGATGCAACACAAGGCTGCCATCATGCAACACAAGGCTGCCATCATGCAACACAAGGCTGTCATCATGCAACACAAGGCTGCCATCATGCAACACAAGGCTGCCATGCTGCAACACAAGGCTGCCATCATGCAACACAAGGCTGCCATGATGCAACACAAGGCTGCCATGATGCAACACAAGGCTGCCATGATGCAACACAAGGCTGCCATCATGCAACACAAGGCTGCCATCATGCAACACAAGGCTGCCATCATGCAAAACAAGGCTGCCATGCTGCAACACAAGGCTGCCATGATGCAACACAAGGCTGCCATCATGCAACACAAGGCTGCCATGATGCAACACAAGGCTGCCATGCTGCAACACAAGGCTGCCATCATGCAACACAAGGCTGCCATCATGCAACACAAGGCTGCCATGATGCAACACAAGGCTGCCATCATGCAACACAAGGCTGCCATCATGCAACACAAGGCTGCCATGCTGCAACACAAGGCTGCCATCATACAACACAAGGCTGCCATCATACAACACAAGGCTGCCATCATGCAACACAAGGCTGCCATCATGCAACACAAGGCTGCCATGATGCAACACAAGGCTGCCATCATACAACACAAGGCTGCCATCATGCAACACAAGGCTGCCATCATGCAACACATGGCTGCCATCATGCAACACAAGGCTGCCATCATACAACACAAGGCTGCCATCATACAACACAAGGCTGCCATCATACAACACATGGCTGCCATCATGCAACACAAGGCTGCCATCATACAACACAAGGCTGCCATCATACAACACAAGGCTGCCATCATGCAACACAAGGCTGCCATGCTGTGTTGTGAATGTGCTAGCAGGTGTGGAGGACACACCGTCCCATTTCTAGCAGATCCTGGGTTCGAATCCCGAGAGGGAAAGCGATTTCAGCTACATTTTCCTTCGCCTAGTGCGTCTGTTCACCTAACAATACACGAGTGTGGCGTACTGTTTATGTTTGAGTGTGTCGAACACATTTACTTTTAATGTTTAAACCCAACCACTTGGGCTGGACGGTAGAGCGACGGTCTCGCTTCATGCAGGTCGGCGTTCAATCCCCGACCGTCCACAAGTGGTTGGGCACCATTCCTTTCCCACCGTCCCACCCCAGATCCTTATCCTGACCCCTTCCCAGTGCTGTATAGTCTTAATGGCTTCGTGCTTTCCCCTGATGGTTATTTTCCATTTTAATGTTTAAACATATCCAATATATTTATTTTTTGTTTAATGGCGTCGAACATATTTAATTTTTATGTTTAATGGCGTCGAATTTATTTCATTTTTATGCTTAATGGCGTCGAATATATTTAAATTTTTATGTTTAATGGCGTCGAATATATTTAAATTTTTATGTTTAATGGCGTCGAATACCAGTTAGAGAGAGGAGGAAGGTAGCTTACCCCGACGTCTGGGTGACAGTAACCAAATTCTGGGCGTCAGTTCCGTAGAGTTTCTTGACATGAGAGAGACCTTCCCAGGTGGGGTTATATTTGCACCTGAGATTTCTACCAGGTGGCACTGATAATGCGGTGGATTGAGACGTTTTGGCACTTATGTCATCTTGTGGGACTGTTTAGGGGAGGGGGTCACTCGCCCCCCTATCCCTTCCTCCTAGCCCTTGGCTCAGCTATCCACTTATATATCTATAATAACAATCCCACCTTATACAATCACATAAAGTCTACACCCACACACCAACCCTACACCCTCACCTCAAAACTTCACCCACACACCAACCCTACACCCACACACAAACCCACACACCCACACACCAACCCTACACCCACACACCAACACTACACCCACACACCAACCATACACCCACACACCAACCCACACACCCACACACCAACCCTACACCCACACACCAACCCTACACCCACACACCAACCCTACACCCACACACGAACACTACACCCATACACACCAACACTACACCCACACACCAACACTACACCCACACACCAACCCTACACCCACACACCAACCTTACACCCACACACCAACACTACACCCACACACCAACACTACACCCACACACCAACCCTACACCCACACACCAACCTTACACCCCACACACCAACCCTACACCCACACACGAACACTACACCCACACACACCAACACTACACACCCACACACCAACACTACACCCACACACCAACCCTACACCCAGACACACCAACCCTACACCCACACACCAAAACTACACCCACACACCAACCCTACACCCACACACCAACCCTACACCCACACACCAACTCTACACCCACACACAAACACTACACCCACACACCAACCAAACACCCAAACACCAACACTACACCCACACACCAACCCTACACCCACACACCAACCCTACACCCACACACGAACACTACACCCACACACACCAACACTACACCCACACACCAACACTACACCCACACACCAACCCTACACCCACACACGAACACTACACCCACACACACCAACACTACACCCACACACCAACACTACACCCACACACCAACCCTACACCCACACACCAACCTTACACCCACACACCAACACTACACCCACACACCAACTCTACACCCACACACCAACACTACACCCACACACCAACTCTACACCCACACACCAACACTACACCCACACACCAACCCAACACCCAAACACCAACACTACACTCACACAATAACCCTACGCCCACACACCAGCACTACACCCACACACCAACACTACGCTCCCACAACGATTCAGTCGCCTGAAGCCCACATCAAAAGGATATCATCAGCGGCGTATGCAAGACTAACTAACATCAGAACTGCGTTTAGAAATTTCTGTAAGGAACCATTCAGAACCTCATATGCCACATATGTCAGACCAATCCTGGATTATGCAGCTCCAGCTTGGAGCCCATATCTAATCAAACACAAGATTAACTTTGAGAAAATTTAAAGGTATGCCAACAGACTAGTCCCGGAGCTGAGAGGTATGAGTTACAAGGATATAAGGTGGAAACTTAAGGACTCATATGAGCCACAGGGACGTTAGAAAGAATTTTAGCCAGAGAAAATTGGGTTTCCCCTGATCTAAATTGTGATATTGGTCATTCTCAACCCAGTATGTTACCTCTCTGCAATCGTCCACATGAAAGAATTTTTATTTTTTTTAATAAACTAATCGAACTAACGGAGACAGGTTGGGAACTCGAGGCCCAGTTGGGTTACCTCATCTGTACATGGCTTCTTTCTAGTTGGAGCGACGACCCTGCTTCTTGCAAGGTCAGTGTTCGATCTCCCGATGATTCAAGTGGCTGGACACTGTTCCTTCATTCATTTACCAAAGCTTCGTTCTCGTAATCCTCGCATGTGCTGTACTGTCATAGTGGCTTGGGTCTTCCTCCTTACAAGTGATTCCTAGTTGTGTCTTCCAAAACCAAAGCTCTGTCATTGATACGGTCTGAAAGCGTCTCTAACCACTGACAGATCTGTAACCCGAGGTCTATCCCTCCCGTCCACCACCAAACCAACCATCCACCATAACCTGCACCATAATTATAACCACATATACCTCTGAACTTGCCACAGTAGTGAGTACAGTGAGTGTGAGTGCTGCCAGACGATCACCCTGGCGGAGAACACACACACAGGAAGGTAAACAAAACCCTCTCAGGGATCTCACATATAAGAAATATCACTCTACACCAACATCCAAACACCCAGCGAGGCTTTTATCAAGCAAACAAACAAATTTAACAAACAAACACCTACCCAGCAGCTGACACAAACTCCCAATATTATCACCGTCCCCACCAACCATCCCCCTACCTCCCCACCTCCCCACCTCCCCACATCCACCAATATTGTGGACCTGTGAGTCTTAGAGACAATACCCCTACCATTAACAGGTGGAGAGAGATGGAGACTACATCACCCCCCCCCCTCCACCTCCTTCCACTTCCAGTGAACCACACATTATTACCCTTCCCTTCCCCTACACTCACCCCCATTTCCCTTACAACTACCCCCTCCCCTACACCTTGTTAGAGTACACTCCAATGACCGCTCCAGCCACGGCCCCAAATGCCCCAGGAGGAGATATAGACCATTGGCCGGAAGCTCTTCTCTTCACAACAAGTTTTCTTGCTACCTGGAGACGATGTCCAGCTTGAGTACCCGGATCTGCTATGGGCAGACTTCTCCCAATATGGCCGCCAAGATGGCTCCTGGCTCAATTTATCTGGTACAGGAAAATGGGCAATATCTCTCCAGCTCCGGCCTGCCTCTCGCGGAAAATTGCGCAAGTTCAAAATTGTTCATGACTCTTTTTTTCCACACACTCTGGTAATTAACTTTTATGATGGTTTGGTGGTTATCAATTATTTTACTACAAATAAAGTGCGGCTAAATTGATTTTTCTTTTCAAAGTATGAAACAGTTTTATGAGAGAGTCGATTTAAAGACATTATGAAGAGAGTACAGCTTACACCAGCTGCCTAGAAGTGGAACAAATCATGTACACCAAAACTGTATAATACTATGTGTCATACTACGTATCATATGTGTATCATACTATGTGTCATTCTGTGTGTCATATGTGTACTAGGCGACACAGGGAGGACAACATGCGGGACTTATAATAGCAGAGGATCTTCCCGGATCTTCCCGGATCTTCCCGGATCTTCCAGGATCTTCCCGGATCTTCCTGGATCTTCCCGGATCTTCCCGGATCTTTCTGGATCTTCCCGGATCTTCCTGGATCTTCCCGGATCTTCCCGGATCTTTCTGGATCTTCCCGGATCTTCCTGGATCTTCCTGGATCTTCACGGATCTTCCCAGATCTTCCCGGATCTTCCCGGATCTTCCTGGATCTTCCTGGATCTTCCCAGATCTTCCCAGATCTTCCCGGATCTTCCCGGATCTTCCCAGATCTTCCCGGATCTTCCTGGATCTTCCTGGATCTTCCCAGATCTTCTCAGATCTTCCCAGATCTTCCCAGATCTTCCCGGATCTTCCCTGATCTTCCTGGATCTTCCCGGAGCACTAGAAGCAAGAGACGAAGTGGCGTATCGTTCAGACAGCTACCAATTCCAGTGGGTGTCCGGAGTGTTCCTTACCGTGCTACAAGTCAGTCATATAGTGACACAACAGTGATACAGGTTAATGACTCTTGTGGAGTTTGTGGTGTGACGATGGTCATATCACGTCACTAAGGAACCTCAATATCACGTCACTAAGGAACCTCAATATCACGTCACTAAGCAACCTCAATATCACGTCACTAAGCAACCTCAATATCACGTCACTAAGCAACCTCAATATCACGTCACTAAGGAACCTCAATATCACGTCACTAAGCAACCTCAATATCACGTCACTAAGCAACCTCAATATCACGTCACTAAGCAACCTCAATATCACGTCACTAAGCAACCTCAATATCACGTCACTAAGGAACCTCATCTGCTCCTCCCATCATTCTGAATATTATAATAATTTTTTCCTCAGTCTGTGTTTCTTCCACACAAAAACCAAATCAAATGAATCAAATGAAAATCTTAATTCATACAGATAGCACATGTATAACTGGTCATGTTTACATATACAGTACAGTATATTCATTACATACTAAATCTAGATCTAAATCAGATCTAGATCTAAATCAGATCTAGATCTAAATCAGATCTAGATCTAAATCAGATCTAGATCTAAATCAGATCTAGATCTAAATCAGATCTAGATCTAAATCAGATCTAGATCTAAACACAAAAGTAATAAATTTTAAGCATAAAGTGAGTGCCATTTAGTAAGAATTATAAAGATGATAAATATTATCTATACATATCTCAAAATTAAGGTGATACAATTAGTAGTAGAACTAAAATATATTAATATCATGATGTTCTATATATTTGCACACACCTCAGTATTCTACATCAACAGAATCCGCGACTATCCCGGTTCGAAACCACTCCAGACACACAGCTCATAGAGCATCGATCTGATTTGAATTGAACTCAAAATGGCTGTCGGTAATTCAGCTCTGTGTGACGTTAGTTCCTTAATTATTCCAACTATCCAGCTACAGCTAACATAACCCCGGCCTGTACACCCGCTACCCCAGTCAAAATATTCATTCTTAAGTTGTATTTCCTAATAATTAAATTATTTCTGGAGAAGTAGAAGTAGCCAGTGATGAGTGAGTGCATGGAGAGACTTGAATGAGTTTGCTGGATGAATGATTCCCTTCAGATAAAATTATATCATCCGTTTGTGAATTATTTCATCAAGTGTGAGTGTGGACATACCTGGTTACCTGGTTGATACCTGGTTGATGGGGTTTTGGGAGTTCTTCTACTCCCCAAGCCCGGCCCGAGGCCAGGCTCGACTTGTGAGAGTTTGGTCCACCAGGCTGTTGCTTGGAGCGGCCCGCAGGCCCACATACCCACCACAGCCCGGTTGGTCCGGCACTCCTTGGAGGAAAAGACATGAGGCCAGAGATGAGAGAGAGCAGTGAGGACCAGGATGGGCACAAGATATAGCTTCTTAAGGTTATCTTCAGATGATTTCGGGGCTTAGTGTCCCCGCGGCCCGGTCCTCGACCAGGCCTCCCAGGAAGCAGCCCGTGACATCTGACTAACTCCCACGTACCTATTTACTGCTAGGTAACAGGGGCATAGGGTGAAAGAAACTCTGCCCATTGTTTCTCTCCGGCGCCCAGGATCGAACCCGGGAGCACAGGATCACGCGTCCAGTGTTCTGTCCGCTCAGCCACCGGCTCCCGAAGCTTCAACACTTCCTTCATCCACAACTAAGCTTACCCAGGTCAGCAGTGTACAGGTCCCATAGTTCACCTTCATACAAGCTTAAGCACTGGTAAATAACCTAACCTAACCTAACCTAACCTAACCTAACCTAACCTAACCTAACCTAACCTAACCTAACCTAACCTAACCTAACCTAACCTAGCCTAACCTAGCCTAACCTAACCTAACCTAACCTAACCTAACCTAACCTAACCTAACCTAACCTAACCTAACCTAACCTAACCTAACCTAACCTAACCTAACCTCCATACAAGCTTAAGCACTGGTAAATAACCTAACCTAACCTAACCTAACCTAACCTAACCTAACCTAACCTAACCTAACCTAACCTAACCTTTCCACCAGGTATCAAGGTCGAAAGTAAAGTGATTTCACATTTAATGCCAATTAAACGTTTATTGCAGTAACAGTGAAATAGTGATATTGCTGAAGCACTGTTAGAGACTCCAAGCATCTGGCCCAAAAGAGTCTGAGAGTGAGCTAAAAGAGCAAGACTGTTCGAGAGGATGTTAGAGGTGTGGGTATGATTACAGCAGCTCTACGACCAATAGAGCCTTGAGAGTACCAATCACTCTGTAACCAGGGGCCAGATTCACGAAGCAGTTACGCAAGTACTTACGAACGTGTTCATCTTTCATCAGTCTTTGACGGCTTTGGTTACATTTATTAAACAGTTTACAAGCATGAAAACTTGCCAATCAACTGTTGTTATTGTTATAAACAGCCTCCTGGTGCTTCGGAGCTCATTAACTATTTAATAATTGTAAACAAAGCCGCCAAAGATTGAGAAAAGATGCACGGGTTCGTAAGTGCTTGCGTAACTGCTTCGTGAATCTGGCCCCAGCTGGAAGCACTAAAACAAAGGACTACCTTTATTCAAAGAAGAAAATGGAACATGTGCATCAACTACAGGATTCGAATAGAGATTTTACCATTTTTATTAAGACAGGCCAAGAAAAATATAAAGTTTTCTGCTATTGAAACTCATTTTTTTTTACGAACTCTTCCCTATATTAATGGATCTCATAATAGCAGTAGAGAAGGAAATTGGAAGTTCCGTATATATGAATTTCTGAGCTGATAATTATTTTTCTCCTTTGATAAGGTAATTTATGCAAGATGAGGCTCAGTTTACAGTCAAGATTGCTTGAAACTTAAAGAGAAGGATCGTAGTACGAGTCACTGTGTGTCAGGCGGGGCCTGGCGGCCATCTTGGAAAATATCTCCCATCGTTTTTGTAAATATGTTTTGCAGAGAACAGGTGAACACAGCACGTGTGTCGCCGCTACACTCAGTGATACACCCGCCGGCGTCCGCTCCTCCGGCGACCAGGAGGCCATTTACCAGTAATTACTGCAGGAGTGGTTGGGGCGGGGAGTGTGGAGTCTGTTCCTCCAGGCCGCCCACCACTCATGCATTTTTATCCCGGCATTTCCGTCCCATTTTGTCAACCGCAGAAAGATTTATGATATCTTACATCACGTGGCACTTCTCCCCCCATTCCCAGCCTCTCCCCATCCCCCTCTCCAGCCAGCCTCTCCCCATCCCCCTCCCCAGCCAGCCTCTCCCCATCCCCCTCCCCAGCCAGCCTCTCCCCATCCCCTTCCCCAGCCAGCCTCTCCCCATCCCCCTCCCCAGCCAACCTCTCCCCATCCCCCTCCCCAGCCAGCCTCTCCCCATCCCCCTCCCCAGCCAGCCTCTCCCCATCCCCCTCTCCAGCCAGCCTCTCCCCATTCCCTCCCCAGCCAGCCTCTCCCCATCCCCCTCTCCAGCCAGCCTCTCCCCATCCCCCTCCCCAGCCAGCCTCTCCCCATCCCCCTCCCCAGCCAGCCTCTCCCCATCCCCTCCCCAGCCAGCCTCTCCCCATCCCCCTCCCTCTCTCCTACCTTCCTCTCATCCTCTGAGACACTCCCTTCCCTCTCATACTCTACGTCACCTTTCTAAACGGCTTCCCTTCACCTGTGCCACTCCTCCTTTACTCAAAACAAAACAAAAATAACTTCAGCTTGACGATTGAAATGTTAGACGACCCAATACCACGAATACCACAACTAACACTAACTAACACGGGAGTGAGGCTAACACGCCTCACTCCCACAGTTTGGGGGCCAAGAGCTTGAATCTACTCGACGGAAAAGCCCCACAATACATAATTCCAAGATGAAATTCATACCAGAAGCCTTTCTTCTCCCGGACAAATATGAACTTTAAAAACTTCAACACATATGTACTCAAGCATCTCATTATGTATATGTGAACGCTGCTCATCTATAGACCTTAATATGTGGTGAAATACACCAGACACACATTATAAACACACGCACACTAGGACAGTGGAGAGCACCCTCACCATCACCCCTCACCATCACCCCTCACCATCACCCCTCACCATCACCCCTCGCCATCACCCCTCACCATCACCCCTCGCCATCACCCCTCACCATCACCCCTCACCATCACCCCTCACCATCACCCCTCACCATCACCCCTCACCATCACCCCTCACCATCACCCCTCACCACCACCCCTCACCATCACCCCTCACCATCACCCCTCACCATCACCCCTCACCATCACCCCTCACCATCATCCTCTTTCTCCCCATCTCCCTTTACCATCAGGCCTTCCCTCACCATCTTCCCTCACTCTTTACCTCACAATTTTCCCCTCACTGTCTCCCTCCCTCACTCCCTCCCTCACTCCACCAAGACAGGGTTGCCAAGGCTACAGTGACAAACACAACCATCAATTATAACCCCAAGTTAGGTAGAGACATCTGGTTAGTTTACTGAGTGGCTCACTGCTGACCATGACTGGTAACTGTTTACTGAGTGGCTCACTGCTGACCATGACTGGTTAGTTTACTGAGTGGCTCACTGCTGACCATGACTGGTAACTGTTTACTGAGTGGCTCTCTGCTGACCATGACTGGTTTGTTTTCTGAGTGGCTCACTGCTGACCATGACTGGTAACTGTTTACTGAGTGGCTCACTGCTGACCATGACTGGTTTGTTTACTGAGTGGCTCACTGCTGACTATGACTGGTAACTGTTTACTGAGTGGCTCATTGCTGACCATGACTGGTAACTGTTTACTGAGTGGCTCTCTGCTGACCATGACTGGTTTGTTTACTGAGTGGCTCACTGCTGACCATGACTGGTTTGTTTACTGAGTGGCTCACTGCTGACCATGACTGGTAACTGTTTACTGAGTGGCTCACTGCTGACCATGACTGGTAACTGTTTACTGAGTGGCTCACTGCTGACCATGACTGGTTTGTTTACTGAGTGGCTCACTGCTGACCATGACTGGTTTGTTTACTGAGTG